TTTTGATTTGGGTAACACTTGTATTGTTTGGAATATCCTATAATGTGAGCGATATTTTTTCCCTTATCTTTTTGATTTTTTTAGCTTTTAGCTTTGCCACTTCTTTATTTTGATTGCCTTTGTAATATCTTCTGTACTTTCATTTATTGTAGGATTCAGATATGAGTTGGTGTTCTCCTTTTGCAATCTGTTTTCTTGATTCTCTGCTGGTTTGATTTTTTGAGCTTTGTGACTTGCCAGTTCTTCTTCTATTTTTTCTGTTCTATAATCAGCGGTGCTACATTCTAATAGTATTAGTGCTGATTTTCAGGTAGATATATCATGTTGTTGCATTTCACTATAACATTTGTCTTGGATGAATCTGTACTCTTCTTGTGATATTTTCTTTTTGGCTACCTTTTTGTATTTGATCCAGTTATAGATTTCTGTCATCTTACGGATTAAAAATACTAGCTCCTGGTCTTTTAGACCCAGCCAATTAGCTATGTTTTTATCCTTTTCCGCTACTTCAATTTTAAGCTCTGCCATGTATCTTTGTATAATATGGCTTTCTTTTGTGAAAAGGTTTTTAAACTGGCTTGCTTTTTCTATCTTGAATGTTAGTCATGTGCTGATTGATCTGTTTGTTTGTTTGTCTGCACTTCACGTGTTTGTTGTTATGAGGTACTGCTTTCTAAATGCAGCTACATGTCATTGTTTGTTTACTTGTTTGTTATGTATTACAGATTGTGATCTGCATTACAGGGTTTTGGCCAATTTTTCAAGTTTTCTACTTTTTTGCGAGTGCAAAGATATTTTCTCTTCTAGAGGCTTGAGTTGTTAGCCTTTATACTCTGATCTTTTAAAAAGTGAGTATTCAATATTTATATTAACTTTAATTATTAATTTATAATTTTTTTTTAAATATTTTATATTTTTTTTTAAAACATACTATATACTTCTTAATATTTGATTTTTTAAATTTTAAATTTTTTTTTTTAGTATTAGAGTGGCCTAAAGACTTTTTATTAAGTAATAGATAACATTTTACAATTATAATAAAAGTATAACTAGCTATATGTAGTGTTGTATATAAGACAATTTTGATCAATTTTGAATATTTTTTTAAATTATAATTACTTAAAAATTATTAAGATAATCTATTTTAATTTTTTATAAATGAATCTAGCACCTAAAAAAATATATAATTATATATTTTTTTAAATTACTTTATTAATTATTTAAACTTGGAACATAGGCTTAAACAATTTTGAACAATCTTGAACTTGGATATTTTATATAGTGTAAAACATGTCCTATATACAACACTAGCTATATATGTATTTTTAATACCTAATTTAAATAGTTTGCCTAAAGATTCTACACTAGCTATTTGTATCTGCAACTTGACTATAAAGTTATTTATTTAAACTCTTTAGTTATAATTGTTAGTTATATATTATTTAACTCAAATAGTATACTACTATATATGTAGATTTTGTATTATTACTAGATTTAGCATCTAATCTAGAACTAGTTTATTCTTAAGAAAAATCTAATAAAGCAGTTTATGTTTTATATATATTTTATCTACATATTCAATAATTTTTTTTTAATTAGTACTATACTATTGTATTGTTGTTACTATATTTAAATCTTAAACTATCTTTTATAATACTACTATAATATAATTTATATCTTAAACTACAATTTTGTTAATTAGTTGTTTATTATTTACTTCTGCCTTTGTATAGTTTATATTAATTTTAATATCTATATTCAAACTTCTTTTTTTTTAAATTATTTACTAGTCTTCTTTTTACTTTTTGCTAGTAATCTAAAAAAATTAACTTTAGCTTAGCTTTATTTTTTTATTATTTTTTTTTAACATTCTGTTTTTATTATCTAAAAATAGTATAAATATATTATATTTTAATTTATACTAAGAGTATAGACATTTATTAGGTAATTTTTTAAAGAAAGAAAGAGTTAAAAAATTAAAATTTTATATAAAATACCTGATCAATTGTATATTAAGAACTAGAGAGAGGAGTAAGCCTTTAATAAAAAAAATTAGATAATAAATATCACTACTCTAATAGTATATATTAAGACTTATTTGATTTTTACTAAAACCCAAATGTAATTTGCTACAATAGCTTTTTATCTTCTTTTATATTTCTTATTTTTATTAAAAAAGATAACCAAATATTCTTAGTTAGTAGCTGCTAGCTACATCAGAATCATGTTTATTCTATACTTTTTTTAGATACTTATCCTTTAAACTGTTTTTTGGGCAAATTTGTTTGAAATTTTTAAATTATTTAATAAATATTTTTGTAATGCCAAATTATACTAAGCAAAAGCCCTCCTAATGTATTATTTTTCAAAACCAGAAAAATCTAACCAATTATTTTACAACAAAATTTTTAGGCAAATTTGTTTAGAAAATAGTTATATAATTAATTTGAAAAAAGTTAATATAAATATTAAAAATTGATGATTCAAAAAAATTAAAGTTTCTCATACTAAATATGTACTTTTTATAACACCAAATCATACTAAATAAAAGCTCTCCTAATATATGATTTTTCAAAATTAGATAAACCTAACCAATCATTCTACATGCAATAAAATTTCTTCTGGTTTTGAAAAATTATACATTAGAAAAGCTTTACTTTAGTATGATTTGGCATTATAGAATTTTTAGATTATTGGTCTTTAATATTTGCTTCAAATTAATTGTGTAACTATTTTCTAGGCAAATTTACCTGGAAACTTGACCAATCATTTTACAATAAGATTTCCAGACAAATTTGTCTAGAAAACAGTTATACAATTAATTTGAAAAAAGTTAATATAAATATTAAAGATCATTGATCCAAAAAATTAAAGTTTCTTATACTAAATATATACTTTTTTTTTTTAAATTCCCATGATATGCAATCCACATCTAGGATACAGGTGGCGCACTTTATTATTTCAAAGTCTTATACATTATATTACAAGAAATCATTAGTTATATATTTAATTGCTATGTATATTACCTGTAGGGCTACTCCATCAGGTGTTCTCTAGCCCTTCCATGCCATGTGTTGATAAGTCTACCACTTTTGTGATATCCTGGGTCCCTAATCCCGTAGTGTAGGACCCTGCCTTGAGTGGTCTGCAGTTCCTTATCACCATAGCCCTAATTTCCTATATTTTCCTATATTCAGCAATTATATACTTTCCCCAATTCCATACTCAAACTCTGTGTATTCTTCATTCATTACCTGCCTACCAACATACCCATTAGGCTCCGTGTTTTTAGTTTCAGCCTTTCTGGACTTTACTTCTGTATACCTTCTGTATTCACTAGTACTTCCTTATGTGGACGTTCCACTTGAAATTACTAGGGATCTGTCTAGAAGGCAAGTATCCTGAAGAGAACCCAGGTTTTTTTCTTTCATTAGGTCTATAGTACAAGCCTTTTGCTTTTATTTGGGGCCCTTTTATTGGGAAATGCCATAATCCTGATTTGGGGTTTCTCATGTTAATGATATTCTTTTATCAGATTCTTTTCTTTTTCTAGATATTACATGACTCCGTGGCTATGTCCTGCAACATATTATCAAATGTGGTCCTAGCAAAGGTAGATTCCTCTATGGGTTTCGAACTCATGACCTTGTGCTTGTGACTTGAAAGCACTAACTACTATGCTACAGACCCACAGGTCTTAATATATACTTTTTGTAATACCAAATTATATTAAATAAAAAACCTCTAATGTATGATTTTTTAAAACCAGAAGAACCTGATTAATCATTCTACATACGTATAATAAAATTTCTTCCAGTTTTGAAAATTTATATATTAGAAAAGCTTTACTTTAGTATAATTTGGTATTATAGAATTTTTGAATCATTGGTCTTTAATATTTGTCTCAACTTTTTTCAAATTAATTGCATAACTATTTTTCAGATAAATTTATCTGATAACCCAACCAATCATTTTACAATAAGATTTCTAAGCAAATTTGCCTAGAAAACAATTATATAATTAATTTGAAAAAAATTAATATAAATATTAAAGATTGTTAATCCAAAAACTTAAAGTTTCTGCAAACCAATATATATAATACATACATACTTATAATTTTAAATACAATAACAAAAATGTATACGTATTTACATGAAACAATACTGTTGCTTCTTGCTTTTATTAATCTCACATTACTAAAACAAAGGAAAGATACATATTTGATTTTTGCTTTCTGTCTTTATATATACACACCTATTTTAAGTGATTAGTACCCAACATATAGCATTAAATATGCTTAGATATCAGCATGTTGAGAGTAAATATGCTGTTAAAATAATGCGAATATATATATTTGTATATTTGTTAGCTTCTCTTTTAGATGTTGGCTAAGTTGTCAATGCATTATATAAATAAATATAAAAATAAAAGTTAAATGATCATTTTACTTTAAGATATAATTTAAAGTTCTCTCCTGCTAGTGATTGTAAATAAATGACATATGAGTTTTATAGTAGATTAAAATAATTAACAGATGATTTTTCTTTGACTTTGTAACAGTTATCATCTTTTTTTAAACTGTTACATTAATGCATTCAATTTTTTTTTAATATACTCTTTTCTTAAATTTTTTTAACTACACTTAAATTAAGCTAGTACAACAAGAATCTTTTAACTTTTTATACTATTGAGCAAAAGATATTTGCTTTAGTTTTTTTTTTCTAAAAAAAATTATCATGTTTCTCAATAATGTCATGCTATTTGATAATAAGAACTCATACTCAATTACTTTTAAACATGATTATTATGATGAGTTGATAATCGATTATAAACTTGTAAAAGTTATTGTTAACAATAAAGAATTTATTAGATCAGATTATATGAATAAAGAAATAGATATAGGAAATAGTAGTGAAAGGAGTAGAGGCAGAGACAAAGATAGGGGCAGGAGTAGAGATAGAGGAAGTATAAAGAGTAAAAAAAAAGAAATGACTAATAGTATGCAAGTTAGTAGCATAAATAGTGATATGGCATTAAAATCACCTATATTTAATCCAATACAAAATTTACAACCATTTCACAAAAGATATACAATGATTCTCCATAAATATCAACTAGGAATTGTTACTCTACTTGCACTTTTTCAGTTGTTTTTTACTGATAATCAATTACAAAAAATGATTGAAAATACTAATATATACAAAATAGTAAAAGGTAAAAAGGGTGGTTATGACTAGAAGCCATTGATTTTAAATAAACTAAAAATTTGGTATAGTTTAATTATCTACATAGGTGTTCATCAAATTAGTACAGTAGAAGATTTATGAAATTGGGATGAAAAAAAAGCAATACATAAAATTAGAAAATTTATAAATATAGTTAGATTTTAACAAATAAACTAATTTTTTTCATATTTTATCTCTAGGTAAATTGTATCCTTTTTGGTATTCTAAAGTAGAACCATTGGCATTGCATATTTAGAAGGCAGTTAAGAAGTATTATGTTTCTGGTTCAAATATTTTTGTTGATAAGATTTTTCTGGATGAAGTGTTTACATAGTGAGGATGAAAAATAAACAACTTTAGAAAATTAAAAAATTATTTTACTTTGTAATTGCAGATATACTTGGGTATTTTTTTTTTATATTATGTATTAAAAAAAATTTATTAGTAGAATATATTCCAGGCCTTAATAATACTGGATACATGGTTGCATATTTGGTTTGTAAGCTTCCTTGCAATAAAACATACCATATCTATATAGACAATTACTTCTCTAGTATACTATTCTTTAAATAGTTACATGAAAATAATATTGATACTTGTGGTACAGTTTATACAAATTTGGCTGAATTTTCTAAAGAATTAAAAGTTAGTAAAACTTTAGATTGGATATTTTAGCTATTTTTTAGATTAATAATAGTCTGATAACCATGCTGTTTACTATTCATAAAATTTCTAATAATAATTCAAAAATTATTTATAATTGGCAACGGCTATATAAAACAAGTTCTAATACAAGTACTATATACCATATTTTTAAAAATGCATATTGTAAAGAATTGGAAATTATTAATGACTATAACCACTATATAGGTGGTATTAATATCACAAACCAACTTTATAAATATTACAATTGTCAACTTACTGTTAGATATACATAGCTTTTCTTATTTTTTTTGGCTTCTGAACACTGTGCTTGTAAATTGTGTACTTATTTATCATAAAGTCACCAACTCAAATATCTCAAGTAAAGATTTCAAATTTAATTTGACATAGAACCTAGTTAAAGCTACCTTAAGTGATGAAAAAATAAATAAATTGTTTTATAAGAAAATATTGTTTTAAGCTTTTTCAAAAGAAAAGCAAGCAGCTCATATAACCAAGAATTTTAAATTACTTTTAACCTGGTTGTTAGATTATGATCATTTAGTAGAATAGAAGAAAAAAAGAGAAGCTTTTATCTATTATTGTTATTTAGTACAACATGGAGAAAAAGCAGTTAATTATAATAATTTTTCGCAAAGCAATTTATAGTGTTATAAATATAACATGCTATTATGTTTCTCTAAAACTAGACTACATTGTTTTAAGGACTTTCATTCTAAAAATTAAAAAGTATAAAAATTTTAAAAATTTTATTAATTCATCTGCCTCTTTTTTTTTTTATTCTATTTATTTATTTTTTATTTATTTATTTTTTTTTATTTTTTTTTTGCCTTATTTAATTATTTATTTCTACTTTATTTATTCTTATTTTGCCCTTAAATATATACTACATAAGTAAAAATAATTTTGATAAATTCAAAATAACTTTAGTTAAGATATAAAAAGTACTAAGAATTATGATTCAAAAAGCGAAAGCAATTTATAACATAAAATTTATATAATCAAGAAAATTGCTATGTAATAAAAAAAAGTTTATATAATGAAAAAAAAAAAAAATTGCAAACCCTATGCTGTTAAAAAATAACCTGATAAATACAATGAATTCCAAGATTTAATAGCGTTAATTTAAGTTTAGCACTGGTCTAACTTATCTAATATCAACATATCAAGTTTGAAGTATATATACATACGTACGTAGTATATTACATATCTGATATGATAAATGAACACTTGTTTTGCAAGCTATTACATGTGCCTATGACTTGTGCAGAATATGAGCTATGATATAATGATTTATAGGCAAGTATACAAGGGTTGGACAATGTTATACAACAGTACAAATAACAAAAATTTTTTAGGAAAATTTGCCTAGAAATAATCTACAAATTAAAAGATAGTTTAAAAAAAGATATTCAAACTAGCTTGATATAATTGGTTATAAATCTATTTATTATACCACTTGCTACTTTGTATATTTTTGTTTTCTTTTTATTTTTTATTCTATACTTTTATTTGCTACAATTTTAGGTAGATTTGCTTTAGTGCTACTCTTTTTTCTTTGTTTTTTACTCTTTATTTCTACTTTTTTTTACATATACTTTATCTTTTATTCTTTTTCTTTTCTTTTGCTATAGTATTATTTGGTTTTACTCTTCTTATTCATTAATTACCTCGTATCTAAAACATTATATATACTTAAAGAAAGTTTTTTAAAAGATTTTTACTAATAAAAGCTTAATTGTGTTTTGGATTTTTCTTTAATTATTTAGCTTGGCTACAATTTGTTAACTTGTTTTTTTTTTATTATGCCTCTAATTAAGCTCTTTTTGGTACTATATTTGTTGTTTTTCTATTTATCAAATATTACTTTTTGCCAAATTTAACTGTCTTAAATTCTAATTTTACTTTTAATTCTAATCTTGTTTAGGATTTTTTTGATTATTTTTGTTTTTGCTCTAAGTTAAATATTTTTATATATTTTATATATTGTGAAGTGTTTTTGTATTTCTACAATGCACAACATTTAAAGATACATAAACTTTAAAAGCTAATAACTTTTGATCTAAAAAGGATATTTTAAAAAAGAGGCCACTATTTTGTAGCTAAATCAATTTATTACAATTTAACAGCTTTATTTTTAAAAATGCTATAATAGCTTTTTAAAATATACAGCTTTTAAAATGTTGTATTTTTATATGATCATATATGAAAAAAGTTAAAAATGTGACACACTAAAACAAATATTCAATCAAATAAGTTTAAATTTATATAATAAATTTTTTTTAAAAAAAATTGACCAATCAAAATTCAAGAAATTTTGCCAATCAAAATCAAGTAACTTTAAAAACATCAAAAATAAACATTTTAAAATAAATTAAAAGTTTTAATTTTTAAAATTTTAAATTAGAACAAATATAGTCTTTAAGTATCATGCATAGTAGCTCTTTATAGTATACTATGTATCTATTATCTTTGTATAAGTTTAGTATTTATTTATAGAATTGGTTCTTTATTAGTAGCAGTCTGTTTATATATTTAATTCAAAAAACCCAATCTTTACTTTTTTTAAAACTATTATATCTTAGCTTCTTTGTTTTATATATAACTAACTATGCTTCTTTTTAACTATTGTCTATATTACCTTTTAAAATTCTTTTTAACTTAAACTAGATTTTTTATACTGTTTAACAAAGTTTAATCTATATAATACTCATCACAATCAAACAAAAATTTGATAGTCAAATACTTGTTATACTTGTAATTAAGTTAAATATCAAATAATTACAAATTAACTAATAATATATATTTAGCTTTGGTTGATTTGTGATTGTTTGACATCTTATTTAAATATAAGTATTAACAAGTATTTGATTATCAAATTTTTGTTTAATTGTGCTGAGTACTAACTCTGTATCTAAATATGTATTAGTTATCAGATTTATAAATTCTCCAAGAGATTTGTTGATTATGTAATGTTTTCAGTATAAATATATATGGATTCTATTAGTTCAGTTGCTAATTACTTCTATACTGTATAAATTTTAATATTTTTTTTAGCTAACTTATTAGCTTACTTATTAGCTACTATATTGCTATAGCTTTTGACTTTATATAATACAGAGAAACCTCTCTAAATGCACTCTTTATAAATGCACCCTATGTAAAATCTCTTTAAATGCACAGTTTAGTCTAGTCCTAGCTTATAATAGCATTATATATTTTGCTCTCTATAAATGCACACTCTCTCTAAGTGCACATTTTTGAATTTTTTACTATAGTCCCAAGGGGGTGCATTTAGAGAGGACCCTCTGTATTAGTTTTAAATTTTTTTCTGAATAGCAGTTTAGAATTTTGTTAGCTAGGCTTTTATTTTTTAACTTTAATTCTTCTTTAGACTTTATTAGAGTTTTATTTTTTTTAATTATTTTTATTGTATACAAGCTATCAGTATATATAGCTATTTTTGTATTTTTAAACAAGACTGCTAAAGCTATCTAAATTATATCTAGTTCTGCTCGTATCAAGAAAAGCTAGTTATTTATTTTGCTACAAAATTCTATACTAGTTGATTCTTTATTTATTTTTGTAATAACCTATCCTACTTCTATATAAATCTTTTCTATTCTATTTTTGTCTCTCTTTAATAATTTATCAGTATAGATTTTTAATATTTTTTCTTCTTTTACTTTTTTTTTTTTTAAATCTTGGCAATTCTGCTTTTATTATTTAAGAAATACTACATACTATTATGTATTTGTAAGCTAAAATTACTTCTAGTTATTACTATCTCTTATATAATAAAGACTCACTTAGTTATTAAAAGTATCTAAATATGATCTGTCTTAACAATATATTTTCTCTCTTGTAAGGCTTTAACTCTTTAAAACTTGTCTGTAAAATCAACAAAAGCCTGTTATTAACTTGTTAAGATTGCTATATTTTTTTCTTCTTAAAACTTTTCCTATCTAAATCCAGACAAAAAAGTTTATTTTTTACTTCTATGCAAAAAAACAAAACCAAGTACTATATTTATAAAGAAATAAAACAAATTTAGAAAAGAAAAGAAAGATAAAATATAGTATTTATAAAAAAAACTCTTTCCCATAGATCCCAAAACATATAAGTAAACAAAGAAATTACTAAGTGGAAAACAAAAAGAACAAGCTAAGATACAAAACAACTTCTAATATAACCTTTCCCTGTTAGGGAAATACACTATCGGTATGTAGAACATAGTTAGAAATTGAGACAAATTAAGCAACAAGAAAAGAGATAGAAGCTTACTAGCAACAACTAACACTCAAGCCTTGTCACCGACTCTGTTAGTGTTAAAGACACAAAAAGGCAACAAAATACCAAAGTATAACAACAATACTGCAACTGGTTACAAGGACATAAAAGAGGTTCCAAATAAAAAAAAACTAAAACAAAGACATAACCCAATAGTTGACCAAAGCAATAACTCTTGTAAAAAAAAACAACAAAAAGTGGGGGACCTTCTAACCCCAGATTTCTGCCAAAATATAATATTATTACAAACACAACTACTGCTTATAACGAAAATAGAAGAATATTTCCATGCCATACAGAATATAGAATATGATAAACATAACAACTAGGGCCTAGACCTCCAAATGCTACAAATCAAGAAAAATCTATATAAAAATCTGGAAAAGCCAGACTTCAATATTCAACAACAAGCAAAAAATATCCCAACAAATGCAGGAAGTCCTACCATCGATGTTATATCAATGTCTGATGAACAACAAATAATAGACATAATATCATCACAAACTACAACACCTATTCTATCTTATCATGACAAACTGCTAGGCAAAAAGACTACAAAACCAATAGATGATTACACTACAGAATGGGTCCAAACTATGAAATGATTTAAAGCTAATCAAATTGAAGAAGAATTTAACACAACTGAATAGTATAATGATAAGATAATCCAAGCATTTGAAACCCAAGAAACTTTGCAAGAATTTATTGCTTACAAATTCAGA